TTTTTGTTTTTTTTTTTCCCAGTCTGGTATATTTAATTACTATGTGCCATGTAGATAAATGATAAATCTTGGGCAAAGACCAATTGTTCTCAGATAAACCTTACCTAGACATGTATTTCTTGATCTGCTATGTATAATTTGTCAGTAGGTTGTTGGACTAATGGTTCCCTCTGGTTTTTAAAACTAGCTAGGCATTATTTATCTCTCGCATTGTTTAACCCATCCATCATGGTTTCCCCAAGTAAGGTGCCCCCATTTTCCCCCTTTCTCCCTTACTAATACCCTTCTCCTATGGTCCCACCTCTCTTGAGCTCCTTCTTTCCCTTTATCCCCTAGGTTCCTTGTATACCCTTCCCTCCCCCCTCCCTTAAACTAACCCAATTTTTATCCATATCTCCCTTATTAAGGCCTATTTCCTACTGTTCTTCTCTTTCAGGTTCTTTCTTTTCCTTTACCACCCTGGTTCCTTTCCATTATCCTGGTTCCTGTAGTTATGTCTGGATACATACTCACTTATCAGGGTTGGGTTCTAGGCTCCACATATGAGGGAGAACGTCGATTTTTTTTCCTGAGTCTGTGTTGCCTCACTTAGTATAACAGTTTCTAGTTCTATCCATTTACCTGCAAATTTCATTATTTCATCTTTCTTTACTGCTGAGTAAAACTCCATCGTATAAATGAACTGCATTTTCATTATCTACTCGTCAATTGAAGGACACTTAGGTTGCTTCCATCTCTTAGCCATTGTGAAAAGAGCAGCAACAAACATGGCTGTATAAGTGTCTCTGCAATAGGATGAGATCTTTGGGTATATGCCAAGGAGTGGTATAACTGCGTCAAATGGTAGGTTCATTTGTAGTTTTTTAAGAGTTCTCCACACTGCTTTCCATAGGGGCTGAACCAGTTTTGGTTTTAATTTGCATTTCCCTAATTACTAGTGATGTTGAACATCTTTTAAGATGCTTCTTAGCCATCTTTAATTCTTCTTTTGAGAACTCTCTGTTCAGCCCCTTAGCCCATCTTTTAATTGGGTTACTTCTTGACTGCAGTCTCTGTTTTTTGAGTTCATTATATATTCTGGATTGTTAAACCTCTGTCAGATGTGTCACCGGTGAAGATTTTCCCCAATTCTGTGGGTTTTCTCTTTACTTCCCTGGTTGCCTCCTTTGATGTACAGAAGCTTTTTAGTTTAATGAGGTCCCATTTGTTGATTCTTGACCTTGTTTCCTG